CTGGTGATGATACCAAGAGCTGCTGCCTGCACTGGAAAAGTCAAATAATGACTCATCCGAGCAGAGATGACGTTGCGCTTTTGTGCCCTTGCATCTCGTCTCGGCAGTGACTTATGCAGAAGGACCAGGAGCACTTACACCCATCCCCAGAGGTGACTCAGCTGTCCCCTCTCCTTCCACCCACGGCCACCTCCTCACCCACTTTGATGCATCACACTGGCGGCAGCTGATGGGAGCTAATGGGAGTTAATGGGAGAGGAGCAGCCCTGCCCAGCCGCTGAGGAAGACCGGGGCTGCAGCTCTGAGCCCTTCACTCTGCGAGTGACGGTCTCAGAGCACGGCTCTCTCCAGGCTGGGTTTATGGAGAGAAGAGACTGATGGGCCAGGTTTCCCGAAGACCTTTGGACATTGACTTTGGAGACTTGGCTTTTATCTGGATGCCTGAGCTGAGCTCTTCTCAGGAACCTTTAGCACAGAATAGAAAGACAATGAGACACTTGGTCTAGTACCTTAGAGTCAGTATGTCCCTTACAGCTTTACTTGAAGGCCAAGCTAAAGACCTGTGCTCCTGACTGGTCCTGATGTCTTGTCTGCTCCTAGCCAGCAGCACTGTGACCTTCTGACCAGCTGAGCAAGCTCATGAAAAGAGACAATGCCAGGCTGTCCACCACAGGGATCACACAGAAGCTAGTGAAGGGAGAAACCAGAAGCCCAGTGATATCTATCTATGGGCACATCAGTCATCCCCAGCGACCTGCCAGATGTCTTTGTCATGAGCAGGTTGGTAGGACAAAGATGTGTCTCTCACCAGCCTAGATTAGACCCAGCAAGCCACTGGAGGGACAGAGGAGGGTGACAGAGAAGAGATGTTGCCTCTGGCCTTCTACCAGGTGGTAGGGCATGACAAGAAGGTATTTCCATGACTTCTCCAGAGAGATATGACCGCCACAACAGCACTTTTTGACTTTCCAGTCCAAATGACTCAGTGTCCTTTTAACATATGAGTCTACTGGAGAGGCTCTGGCCAACTTATAGCAACCTGTTCCAGTGAGTGCCACTTCAAGAACTCTTGGCAAGAGACTGTGCCCTTGGGGTAAAGGTGGTACCCTAAGTGTGCACTGACTGCGGTTAAGTGGGGAAAACATCTACAAACCAAGCTTCCAACAGACATTTATTTGTGTGGGTTGAAATCAATGCACATGAAATAGTGTCGCTCCCGGGCGCTGCACACCTTCGCCATCAGTTAAAACAGAAGCCAAATAGTATCATATGACCAGGGCAGCAGCCGGTCTCCTTCTCCATGACCAGCCACACCATCACAGCCAGGAAAGACGTGACAGAACAGGCCAGGACCTTGCCCATCTCCCTCCAGGCTGTCCTCCCTACCTGCCCAAGCACTGCTCAGCAGCTGAAGTCTGGGTCTCGGGGCCTTGTGAGGTGGAGGGAGGGATGAAGCAGGGGAGCAAGTATGGGACCTTCGGCTCCCTCTCAGTCCAACCAAACAGTCTTCATTACTCACTCTTCCCAAGAAGGCTCTGGGGAAGGCCAGGACAGTGAGGGAGGCCTTCTAGGTCTTGACCCTTGGGTCCGTGTGGATGAGAGGAAACATCCGTATTGCACCACACGCAGGACTGCAGTGACCGAGCAAAGCAGCCCCTGGACAGCTGCTAGAAGAGCAGGGCCCAACCTGTCCCATCAGCTCCAGGATGGAGGCTACTGATGATGGCCTGTCCCACCTGCTTGGACAACAGCCCTAGCTGTGGTCTGCACCTCACACCATTACACAGAGTTGGCAAAGCAGAGGGGAGCTCTCTGGGACTTCATTTGTCCCTGTGATCTATAGGGTGCTTCCTTCAGCCCATACTGAAGCCTCCCCCAAGCAAGGAGAGCACCAGAAACTGGCAGGTGGTGGTTTCAAGATGCTGTAGGACATTAACACAGAGCAGCACCAAGTCAGCAGGCTTCAGACTGAGACCACTGAAGTCAACTTAGAGGTGACACAAACCAAAGCAGGTTCAAGTTTGCTAGAGATGACCAGGTGTCATGTTGGCCCACTGGGGCCTTGCACCCTGGTCTGTGAGTGTGAAGGACTGGTTCAGTCTGCAGACTTTTCTGGCTGCTGGTAATCTCCTCCATACGGAAGTGAGTGGAAATCCCTTGCAAAGGCTGGAGGACAGGTTCCCACACACTGGGGTGTCTGGCAGTGCTGATAA